ATATCCTCAGACCTGCTACTTCATTTTAATATGAATAGTCCTTAATCTCTTAGCAGCACACTGAGCCATTAAACAATATTTTCATGGGCTGAGGATGTAGGGAAGAGTGCTTATCCAGCAAGTGTGAAGACTTGGGTACCATCCACAGCACTAATAAGCCAGGTATGGTGGGGCATGTCTGAAACCTTACTCCTCAGGAGGTGGAAGCAAAAGATCAGAAGTTCCAAGTCTTTCTTGAGTTTGAGCCAGCGTGGGATACAAGAGGCCCTGAACTACCTTTAGTTGTTTCAAAGGCAGTGCCAGTTAAATAAATGACTCTACCACATTTGCCCATACTTATCTATTAAAAAACAAACAAAAAAAAAAACTATGACACTCCAGGCCAGTGAGGGGGCTTAGTGGATGGAGGTACTTGTCCATAAATCTGATGTCCTGAGTTCAATGCTTAATGGTGGATTTGTGAACAAGAATTCCTGGAAAGGAGCTCTTGTCTGTCAAGGTTGATTGATTACTACTTAAATGATGTGGACAGGTCGGAATGTTGCAGGTCCAGAGCCTAATTACAACTTATCTTGAGCTATCATTAATTCCCTAAATAGCCATTTCTTGCCTACCTCTGTGTCAGACCTAACATCCTGTGACTAACAGATAAAAACCTCCTTAAATGTATGAGGTTACAAAACCCAGTTTCTCACAGTCACAAGGCTGAGCCATTAGACAACACCTGAGGCCTATGGCTGAGCTCACCCCATTTTGCTGTAACTGCCTTTTTAATGTTTCTACCAATGTGTTTGAAAAGCACCTTGATTTACGACTTTCTTTGTTCTGAAACTATAAAAACTTTTGTGAAATTTCTTCCACTTTGGAACATGGAATTTGGGGTAACACAAATCTGTTTTCCTCAGCTACAGTCACTCATATTTGGCTCCAGAGCAAACTATCTCATATCCCATTTGAGATGCTATAGAGGGCAAGAGCTCACAGATAAGCACTAGAGAAACCAGAATTGTTAAACACACAGGTTTTCTTCTTCAGTGGAGGAAACTGACACCCATTTCCCATCCAGAAGGCTGGAAATGGATGTGTTAATACCTGGCCAATTTTGCTGTTCTGTAAAGCTAGCCCTTACCGAAACTCCCAGAATCCTGAGCATCATCTCAGTCAACACAACCCATCCTCATGAAAGAGGTCCCATGTACTTTACAAAAGAATTTGCTACTATGCTGATTACAAGCCCTTCCCCCATAGGCCCTGAACCTGAGCGCTGTTCTCAGTCAATAGAACACATTCTTGTGGGGAAATGTACAAAGAAATGGACTCTGCAAAGTAGTAGCCATGCCTACAGCTTTGTTGTGATATTTGTCATGAGGAAACTTTTCCCCTAGGTTTTACAGTGTTTAAATGTGTAAAGAATAAATCGCTTGGCATCAGACTCCAGAAGTTTTGACCCAGCACCAGTTAAGTTGTGCTGACCTGAATTTCATTCTTGACTTCACTGTAGTGAAGTTTTTTGTTTCTTGTTTTTTGTTTGTTTGTTTGTTTGTTTTTGTTTTGTTTTGTTGTTTTGTTTTGTTTGTGTGTTTACTCTTTATTCTTTTAGGAACCCACCACCCAGCTCCCAGATAAATCCAAAAAGACTTACCCTTACTTATAAATGCCCAGCCTTAGCTTGGCTTGTTTCTAGCCAGCTTTTCTAACTTAAACTATCCCATTTCTCCTTTACTACATTTTACCTTTGGGCTTTTCACCTTTCTTTATTCTATATATCTTTCTTTACTTCTTACTCTGTGTCTGGCTG